TACAGTTCGTATAGCACGTGAGCAGACGGGACAGATAACCCATAGCTGTTTTTCATTTTGTCTTTCATTTGGTTTTTCATTTTGTTTTCCATTTTGTTTCTCGTGTACGCTTTGTTTTGGACCCGTAACACCCCTCTTCGATGAGGGACAAAAGCATTTTTATAAATACATATAAATATAAAATGCCGGCATCTTAGTGCCTGACATTTTGTGCCTGTGCCTTTCCCATAGATAGAGGCACGACATGAGGCACTAGCGCCCTGCATGAAAGTCCGATGGCAAGTTTTCCCGCGACACTCATTTATAAATCGAATTCTCATACGTAATTGTTATACTGTATTGATTGTTTACAGTACCACCTTTAATTTTATCACTATCAATTTGTTGCATTTAACGATCTTCTGATACATTGATTTGACATAGGTGAGCAGACCAGTATAGTACAGGCCGAATTTTAAAATATATACTCTACTGATCCGTCCATATTTTGATATTTAACGTAATCAGTGTTTCGGGCGAAACTATTTTCCAAATCCGAAACGTTTCGCCCAGAGAAATTTTAGTTTCGCCCTATAAGTCCGAAACCCTCCGAAACTAGTTTCGCCCGATTTGATCTGCAAATGATCTGCAAAATCGGTTTTCGCCCGAAACACTGAACATAATATATAACTTCTATTGAATCATTTGGCAAATTTTAAAGATTTGATTAAAATTAGCATAATACAATAAATTTGATAAAGGAGTCTTATAATAAAGTTTATGGATCAGAGCAAGTATTAACGGAAATGTTTTGTTTTGACATTTCTCTAGCATTTAGCAAATTTTATACATTCTGGAAGTGTATGTTGGATATAAGAATATAATGCAGAATTTGAACACATTTAAAAACAATAAAAGATTCGCATTCAGTTGTAGCACCAATGAAATTAGGGAATTAAAGGTGACTCAACCACGATGGAAACAATGGCTCCTATCCTTTTTCTAGTATCGCACTTTAAACGGCAAATCCAAATCAGTGAATAACCTGAGCCTTCGTTCAATTTTTTATATTTTGAGATTTTATTAACTTAATCAATCCAAGTTTATGTATCTTATCTTTTATTGTTTAAGATTTTGTAACAAAACCCTTCATCTCGACAACAGAGTTTTGTTTAAAGTTTGATATTGTACGTACGTTCGTATTGGGGTGGTAAATCGGCTAAATAATCAAAACTGTCAGGATTTTATGTTACACAAAGATAATTTCGGTGATAAATTATGATTCAACTCATTATCAAAGCAAGGGATTACCTTGAAACTTTCACAAGTTGTTTATTAAATGTCTAAAAATAAAGCTATGTTTTAAAACTCTTTACTAATATGTAAGTTTTGGGCATTTGTCTTGTAGAATGTTTTAAATTTCGTTAATTGGCGCGAAAAAAATTCATCTTAAATAACAAGTTCAAGTTTTAATTAAAACTTTGCGAAAAAGTCAAACATAGTTATTTTGAAGTAGTTCTGACGCAGCATTTTCAATTGAAAGAAATTACTGTAGAAAAATGAGCACAATATTTGTGTGAATCCTTTAGAATTTTATGTTTTCTTTATAATTAAAATTATATATTTTGATTACCGTAAGTACATACTAATATGCGTGGGGAAAAAGATTAATCACCAGATTAGCCGATACCTAAAATATGCATATAAAATTTTCTTCCATGGAACTGTAGCTGTAGTATGCGTAGTGCGTACTACTGTATGTAGGAAAAAGGATTGATCACCAGATCAACCGATAGTTAAATATGCATACAAAAATTTCTTCCAGGCGTACACCAGATCAACCACTGTAGTTGTAGTATGTGTGGTACGTACGTAAGTACCGATTTACTTATTTTTGCGAGTAACACAAACCAAAAAAGGAAATCGAATTTTGTAAATAAACTAAGTACATACGTGTCCACCTATGTTGTGTTACGTGAGCAATTTTTTTTGACATAATTTTATATTAAAGCATCAATAGCAAATACTTTTATAGATTTTTGTGCCAACATTTAAAGCATCGCTATAAATCACGCAATAACTATTTATAAATAAGAAGACATTGTGCTGAAATGTAACGGTAAGTTCTCAGGACAATGTATATACACGTGGCAACCCCGATCCACTTTTCTGAATGTCAAGTATCCTTTATTATTTAAAATATGGATGTGCTTGCATGTAAATAAACCAATAAGCCACCGGATTTTAGCAATAGCAAAAATAGCACTAGCTATATCACGACAACCACTTAACCAAATCTGATCGAAATTTATTTTATTTTTATTTTATAGACATATAGAATTAAAATAAAACAGTTCGGTCAGATTTGGTTAAGGTTGTCGTGATATAACTAGTGCTATTTTTGCTACGTATTGCTAAAATCCGGTGGCTCTGATGTATATCGATATGAATGATTTTGTAAGTTTATTAAATAATTCTCTCTAACTATACACAATCAACAAAAAGAAATAATAGAATATTTCAAAACTTTTGTAATCTTTAAAATAATTTAAAATTAGTATAAATTAAAACTTACCACATAATCAAATACTGTAAAAGATATCGCAGCTTCATTGTGAAATTAGTCTCAATTTTGAATGTCAGGTTATAAATAAAAATAAAATAATAAAAAAAATTAAAGAAAACAAAATTCGATAAAAACAAAGATGTTTCAAGAGTTTAAATAGTGAAACATGACTTTGTTAAATTGATTCATTTATTCATTTAATTTTTAAGTTAAGATTAGTTTTTTCAATTCGACAAGTTGTGTTACGCTATCAAAAATTACGATATTTCTGAAACTAAAATTTTTTGTGGTCCAGACAACCAAATTTAGTAAATAATGTTTAATTCTAACTTTATTTATCGAGCCTCACATTAAATACATAATAACAAATATTTGAAATGTGAGTTCCTTTTTGGACGTGTAAATGCATTAAAATTTCGGCTTAAGTCTGGATAACAGCGAAGTTTTAATTTTATTTATGCATCCACTTATTATGATTCATTCATCAAGTTTTACAAATTTATTATAAGTTTTAATTTAATAGTGCACCAGACTTTATTTATGATATTTGTGAATAGCATATACGATTAATTAAAACAATGTATGCACACTCGTACAAAATTCTTTAAATCATTGAAACTTTTTAAATTTAAAATCACATACGTATGTACGTACGTATATATATGCGTTGCAATGAGTTCCAAATTTTAACATATGCGCCATGAGCATACATATGACGTATTCATAACTTATGGCGAAACGGTGAAACTAGGGGGTTAAGTTGTATTGTAAGTTGATGTAACTAATATAGAAAGTATGTACTTGAAAAACAGAAGCAACTGTATACGTATTAGAAATAATCTGTAATGTATTCTGTATTAATATATTAAATTGTATAGAAAGATAAGTTAGGGTAAATCACTTATTAGTTTTCTTTAATTGATCGTAAAAACCAATAATAAAAACAATAATTACAACGATGATTAAACTATAACTTATTTGGTAAATTCGTAACATTTGTCTGAAATTTTGTTGTAAGATAAAAGCTAGTGTGGCGATTAGATGAAAGAATTGAAAGAATTAAAAGAATTGAAAGTTACTACCCAAAATTTTGTTTTTTAAACGAAATTTATGAAGGTTTTTTATAGATCGAAAAAAGCCTTCGCTTTTCGTAAAAGCGCTCACATCTGCGCTAAAATTTACTTCGTATATAAGAAGATAATCATTCCTTTACTCTAATAGCCCTAATTTAAGGAAACTATCCAAAATCCAAACAATGTTATTCAAAATATCTCTATGCTTTCTGTTAATACTCGTTGTTGGAACGTTTCCTTCTTTCCAAGGTCCATCTGTATTTTCCTCAACAAATGATTCCGCTGATCAGGTATTGTTTTTTTATCTCTTAATTACACGATATATACGCGTCTCCTATCTTCTCATCTAATCTTCATCTTAAATTAGATAACAGATGACAGAAATCCACTGACTTCTTCAATATCAAGTTGTAGTTCTACATTCACGGTACCTGAAGGTGATTTGATCCATATAACTTTGTTCCTCTTGAATTATTTTTTTAAAAGTACCTAGATATAAAATAAAATAAAATAAAAATAAGATAGATAAACCAAATTAAAAATTTAAAACACTTTCATAATCATTTTACAGATTCTTCAAAAACTCCAACATTTCCTGTAAAGCAAGAGATCCCGAATAATTTTTTACTTGACGTTGGTCTACCTGGTGCTGGTACTCTTCTCTCGGATGGCCAAACTCTTGCAAATACTATGACGTCTGTAACCTCGACTTCAGCAAGTACTCCAACAAGTACTCCAACAAGCACTCCAATGAGCACTCCAACGAGCACTCCAACAAGTGCTGTTACGCCTCTTGTTCCTGTAACCCCGACATCGGCGAATGCAGTTACGCCTGCGGTCATGCCACAGAAAACTACTTGGCCATCTGTAATCACTGTAACAATAAATCCTACAATGCCAATAACTGCTGTACTTCCATTAATACCAACCAAACCATATTCCCCATCTAATCCTTCTTCCGACCCAGGGACTGTTGTAGTAATTGTTAATGGTCCAAAATCTTCAAACACTAAGACAGCTGTTAATACTATTCATCCTCAATCTCCTAATGATGAAGGTATACAAAGCAGTTCTGCTATGTACAGTAAATTCATGAGACATGGAAAGATTCATTGTTTTATTATGAGATTAGGATGTGTACTTTTAGGTCTTTTAGTTATAAACATACAACATTTCGGTTATTTTTAATTTTTTAATTATTTTATAATGTAATATTCGGTAAAGATTGAAGCAGGTATTGGCTGTGCCAAACCTGTAACTAGAACTTCCGAAATTTTTTTCATTCACTTATATCGCTATTACTTAGACTTTGTTTTTTTTTTCCTGAGTAATTATATATTTTATATTTTTTTATTGCTATAAGTATGGTTTACATCATAAATGGTGAATATAAAACACGTAAGTCGATATAATCTTATGTAAACTAATAAAGTGCTAAATTTCACAGGGTGCAATCATATATTCTTTGACTATTTGATTTTTATGAATAAGTATATTTATTTAGAAAAACACCAAGAATTTACATAGTAAGTTGCCTCTTCAAAAAATTCAATGTCTTTGTTAAATTATCAATATTGCAATCGTTTGTTTCAACAAACAAAAAGTTTACTAAAATACATCATCACCCCAGGAGTTAATATTTGGCTCGGAGTAAGGGCTAAGTAAATATAGCCTCCCCAGAGTCAGTTATTTGACAATTACAAACTCTAATGTAATCAAGAAATTTAATTGATAAAATTGATTGCATTAGAATTTGTAATTGTCAAATAACTGACTTGGGGAAGCTATATTATCTACGGATAAGGATGTTAAAAGTCAAGTCCGGTTTGATTCGATTCCAAGAGTCTTAATTTGTACTCGGTTTGGAGTCAGACTCGGGACCAGGGCTTCAGACACTATATCAATATGCCGGCCATTTTCTGCGCCAATAGTAATTGTTTGAAGTGTCATTTTTGAAATCAAAATTAAATAGTATTATAATATAGATCAAGAATGATAACTATAGTGCCTGAAGCCCTGCTCAGGACCGACTTGTTAATTCATGTGATTATAGTTGTTAGACGAAACCTCGAGGTTTTACGTTGACGAAAGTCGAAACCTAGTTTCGACTTTTGTCAACTAAAATCTCGAATGACGAAATGTCGAAACTGACGAAAGGTGACGAAACTAGCGGAAGGTGACGAAAGGTACCGAAACTGACGAAACTCAAGGGTGACAAAATTAATAAAGATGAAGAAACGGATAACTGTTGTTGGAACTCATTGAAGATAATGTGAATGAAAAATAAATCATAAAAACAGAAATTTATAAAAATTACAAAAATTTTATTATTTAGAGGCGCCTTGGCTTTCTACATTTATGTAAAGGGCTAAAAATAAAATATATATACAATTTATACTTAGATTAATTTTAATAAGAAACTTAATTATTTTACATATTTCAGTATTTCAATTAAAAAAATAATTGTTATGTCTATTGGCTAAAATTGACTTGAATAAAAGACAAATTAACACAGACAATTAATTAATAAGATTTTTGATTGTTGTAATACTTGCCAATAAGAAACTTAATAAAAAGAGAACCATATTATTTCACCGACGAATCATCCAGGGCGACCACCAAAAACGCCGGTGACGTCAATCATGGCGCAGCAGCAGTATATATGTCGATCGTGGCGCAGCTCGGGATTCAAATAGACCCATCGTCGCTGTTCGAAGTAACGTTCATTTCGTTCCTCCCAAATTGTCATTTAGAGATCTTTTCTACCTTCTTGACACGTTAAATTATTCAAACCTATATACTTTGCTTGATTAATCTGTTTCCATTAATCGATTATTGAGAAATTACCAGTTAATTACCTTTTTTTTGCGTTAACATAGGTACAACTTACCCTCGTTATAGTGAAGTTCCGGGTTGAGAAAAAAAAATTCTTTAATATAGAGAGAATACTATATATACTTCACTATGTCGAGTTGAAGTTTAATAATTCTGGAACTCAATAATCCTTTACTACTTCGAATCTTCACTATAACATGAGTTGTATAATGTAAAAAGCATTTGAATTTAGTGTATTCATTTTGAAATTGACCGGGCAAGGTTTTAATAGCTTTAATTGATTATTTGATAATTTCAAATTTTAACTAACTTTTATTTATATCTTCGCAAGTGTAGCAGCGAGAGTAAATTTAGACTATTTGTTCTTTATAGTTAGGGTAATATCTTAACGGCCTGTTCATAGCCCTCAAGGTACTGTACTGACATAAAAGCTGGCCCCTTTTCTGATAAGATCTCATTTTATATATACGAAGCATGAAAGTGATTTATTATCCTCCATTATGTGTTAGCGTCTTATTTGTATTCTAAACATGAAGATGTTATCGATCCATTTGGTTTAAGAGTGTCAAGGATTTTTTATTAAACAATGAAAATTCATATAAGTTTGGATGGCTTTATTTATTCATTAAACAAATGGGTCAAGCAAATAATATTCTTATTTTATATTGCAATTCTTAAATGTATTGTTATTTGCCGTGAATAAAATGCATTGTTATTTGCCATGAATAAAATGTATTGTTATTCTTTATTAGTAAAATTTACAATTACATAATTCAAATTTATATTAAAATAATAAACTCTGAAATTTAATATTACAGGTTGATTGCATTAAAACAAATATATTGAATTGAAAAACCTTACTAATTTTAGCATTTTTTTTCCCTACTCAAAAAAACTCCTATATATCACCATTGTGAAATATTTCTCATTTAAAACATTTAGAGTATATTTTATTCTAATATTTTAGATTCAACTACAATACAGAAACTTTTAAAATGATAACTTCACTAATCTTATTGAGAAATACTTTGTTTTGTTTGTGACCTAATTAAAAGATAATAATAATAATAATAGTAATAATAATAATAAATAAATAAATAGATAAATAAATAAATAAATGACACCAATTCATAGTAATTTTTTCATATGATCCTATTAAATTCAAAAGAAATTAATTAATATATTAGTTTTAAAATAAAACCAAATAATTGTATATTAAAATGTAATAAATATGTTCTATTAATATTGGATATAACTGGGTGTGGTGACTTAGTGAAGTGGTGGAGTTGTCGCACCCCAGACGGCAGGTCTAGAGTTCGAATCCCATGGACGACGTTTTCGAAAAATAGCCCTGTGATATGGTTAACAGCTATTTGACGATCGGTAGGATCTAGAAATCTGTAATCTCGGTCACACCATCTAGAATGGGAGCTTTGGCGTAATAA